GCAGAAATAATATATGCATGCACGCTCTCATTAAAGTGTTTTGTGGAATTGAATGACTTGAGTCTACATTTCTGAATACATTCTTTAATGAGGCCTTGATTCAACAGGAGTGTTGAACATTGTAACTGTGTTCTGCATAGAGGGAGGGCCAGCAATTTGTATTGGTTCATATCAGCTAAATGTGATTGCTTCCTTATGACCATATTTGTTACAGATGTTCATCTCACAGAATGGTAGCACTGCATACATTTCAGTAATTCACACTGTCTGGATGATACTACACAAAATAGACAAAACTTTCAGGCAGAATGGAGTTTTTAGACACGGACACTCTGAGAGCTATAGTTTGTACAAATAAATTGTTTATTATCAGGGAGCCAGGGCTTTCTCAGAAAGTATGTATGTGGGGAGAGGGGAAGACAAATAGCTGTTGATACTGAAATAGATGATTGCTTAGCACCAGCCATTGCAGGAGAAGGACTTTAGTAATTCCACAGTGTCTACTCATAATTGGTTAGTTCTAGTCTCTGAAAATTGCAGGATTCCATGAAATTTTGGTTAAATGCAAAGGTGTTTAAAAACAAAGAAGCTTTTTCTCAATCTCTATGATGATCTTGCTATGTGATTTGATCTGCACCCAGATAAACTATTAAAAATACTCTAATGTCAGTTGTTACACATTGTTATTTCCTGTGATTTCTATAAAAGAATGAATGCATTTTGAAACATGAAGGTGAGAATGCAACTCAAGAGGATCAAAGGGAGAAGCAAGAGCTGAAGTTTTTTTGTTTTTGCTTTAATTGCATAGTTCACATAGTTATTTATCTCAGAGAAAGGAGCCCTAATCTTTTCATTTCCTGCCACTGTCAAATTCTTGATTTTTCCAGTCTTAAGTCACAAATGCATTTCAAGTATTATGAAGGATCCTTTTCACTTAGGGTATTTACTGCAAGGAGAAAGAAATATAGAAATACAACATAAGAATACTTGTAGTCTTCCAGTGGGAGAGAGGACTAGTGGAAGAAGAGAGATAATTGGGAAGTGTGGAAATTGAATGTGATCGTAAGGGCCTTCTGAAAGACTGCCTTGAGAAGTGACTGAATTGGTTAAGATATAGTTTTTATTTTATTTCAACAGCCGAGTCAGTTTGAACAGAAAATAGAAATGAGGCAACAAACAGCAGTAGGAAGGGGAAGATAAAAGAGCATTTGAAGGAGACGGGAAGGAATATTCTGTAAATATCTAGATGGAAAAATGTTTCTTTTTTTTTCTAAATTGCTAGTAGAAGTTGAGTATGTGAGTGATGAGAGAGTCAGTGTTTTATTAAGTATGTAAAGCTTCAAGGTCCTCTTGGCTGAGCATCTGGAACTTTTTTTTTCCTTCTTTTAGTGAACCCTTCTGTCTCGTTCTTCCAATTTCTAATTGCCTGAGGAAGAGAAGAGACAATGTCATCAGCTTCCATCTCATCATGGAGACAGGGTTGATGGCAGTATTTCTTGGAGCAATTTGTACCTTTTTTTTTTTTTAACCTAAGTTAGACTTCTGTCCGTAAATCCCCAAAACAAAGAAAAAAGTCCCATGACATAAGCAAAGAGAAATCAAAAGTGCTTTCAGTAACTTGAAAAGAAACTTCAGTCTTATCTCAATGTTTAGGCTGTAATGACAAAGAAATTTTGGCGAGCATTGGGTACTTTTTAGTGATTTTCAGGGGCAATTTTCTCGCCTACCCATATTCTTGCTTTTTGAAGTCTGCCTATGTTTTCCTTTCAGATACCTCCTAATTATTGCTGAATGTCCTTGAGCTGAAAGGAAACAAGAATTCACCATATTCCCTCTTTTAGAAAGCAGTGTTCTTTTGCACTGCTTTGGCCAAGGAAGTGTTCTTACAAATGTTTGTTTCAACTCATTGTTTTGGCTCGTGCTGACAAACAAGCTGGACTCTTCTCTAAGACTCCAGTTAATTCTGGATATCTGGATTTTAACTTTATTTTCCCCTCTTCATACCACTTGTTTTGCAGTTAAGGTATAGCTATAGGGGTATAGGTTTGAAATCTTCACAGCTGATGCCAGAAAAATCTGAATTTCAGTGGTAGTCTCCTTTATTTCAGTAAAGTTACTGACTCAATGAGTAGATGCAGGTCATTGTCTCTGCTTACTGTGTTGCACAATACACAGAGGTTTGCTTGAGAAAACAAGTTGCTACTTGCCATGCAATTGCTGCGTGCTCAAACCTTCATCCATAAGGAAGTGGTTCCTTACTTCAATTTCTGTACGATTCTGTACGAAGGTGAACAATTAACATTGGCCTGCTTCAGTTTTTTGCCATCGTTCTGCTCTACTGTTTCCCCCCGTATTTGGGCCTTTTTGTGGTCCTTGTTTTATTGCCTAAACGATTTACCACAGTCTTTTAGGAATATGCATTTGTTGTTGCTCCCAACAGTGTAAATCAGGAGACAGGAGCTCTTGATTTTATTATTAATTCATTAATAGGAAGATAAGTTTTAAAGGTGCTATTTTAGACTCTTGCTGGTATAGACAATCAATTGATTTTTTTAATATTAAAAATACTAAAAATTAATTTGTTTTTATATTTCTTTGTTGTTCTTTTATTTTTATTTTTGAATTAGTAGATAAATATTCAATATTTAAACATTACAAATGTGCTGTGTTTGGGGAATGTGATAGTAAATCATTATATTTTAGCTTAAAGATGTGTGCTGCTTGTTTATTTTACTCTGTTAGAACAAGAGGATGAAGAAGCCAGTACTGGATCTCATTTAAAACTTATAGTTGATGCTTTTCTTCAGCAGCTTCCAAATTGTGTGAACAGAGACCTCATAGACAAGGTATTGTCATAGATCTCTTTTTTTTCCAACTTTTAAAAAACATATAATGCTACCTCAGATTGATTAGTAATAAAAACTGAAGCTTTGGAGTCTGTCAATAACTGAATTTGTTTTTAACTTTGAGGAAATATTTTTTTTCACTCCCACATAGTAAACTGTTGCCCGTATATCATGTGAGCTGATACTCCTCTCATCCTATCATGTTTTCTCTACCCATTCTAATAGACTGTAGTTTGTTTTAATAGGAGTAGGTCTGTCTTGTTGGTTTGTTTTGAGATTATTTTGGTTGTTTTTTTCTTCTGTTGCCCCTTGACAAATTACTTACTGTCTTCCTAAAGCTACTCTCTTTATTCTACTGGTCTGAAGAATTGGTTTATATTCCTGCAACTGTATGTTGGTCAGGGTCTATTCTAGACAAAAAATTGAGTTTTTAAAGCAGTTTTATGTAACAAGCATGGCTCTGTAAAATGGTACTCTTGGAAACAATGCTAAATTGCAAACAATACATTTTAAAAATGAGACAACCCCCCCATTTTAAGGTGAAGTATTATATTGACTTTTTTTGTTTATAGGCAGCCATGGATTTTTGCATGAATATGAATACAAAAGCTAACAGAAGAAAACTAGTACGAGCACTTTTCATAGTTCCTAGGCAAAGGTAAGAAGTGGAGGGGGGAAATTTGAATTCACTCTTTTGTTATTTAACTTAACACCTGTTTTTTGTTGGTTTTTTTTTAACTGTTTAAATTACTGAAATCAAATGCACATTCCAAGTCATGTTTGTTGGCTGTGTTTACTCCTGATGTGCACTTCTGGAGTGATTTTTATCTACAGAATAAAATAAATATTTGAAATAAAATGATATTTAATATAAATGATTCAACAAAATACTTTGCCTTATTATTGCAGAATTTTATTAGATAGTTTGTCTTGTTTGGAGCTTGTGAATTTATGGTGGGTCTTCTCATAACTTTCTTTTTTTTAACTATGATAGTAACAGCAAAACCCACCTTTTAGTGCAGGGAAAAAAAAGATGTATTTAATTCAGGAGAACTTGTACAATTTTATATGGTAATCTATCAATACTTAGAACACAAGGAGGGAATATTTCTTATGACATTAGTTCTTCTTTAATACCTGGCAATTACAGCCTTTCATCTTCTGGTACAGAGCTACTTTGAAGTTTGCTTAAGGAAAACAAACAGGAGTTTGTGTGAGTTCTTTGTTCTATAATTCATTCCTGTAGAATTTTCCTACCTTTTTTTTTTTTTGGCTTTGTATAAGATAGACATCAGCTCTTGCTAGAAGAGCCTTCCTTACAGAAATGATTGCAAGCTTGGAGATAGAATTGCTAAATTCATTAGAATGGTGTTTCTTTTCCTTATGGTAAACTTGTACCTTAAATAGATGCAACTTAAGTAAGTGCAGTTATGGAGGAGTCGCTTTTCTTGCTCCTCCTTGCCCTAATTTTCCTCAGAGGCTGTTTTGATGCTGCTTCTAGCTCCAGCCGTTTCATCATCATCTTGGATTTCCTGTTATATTTCACACTACTTTGATTCCACTCCTTTTTAACACTGTAAGGCAAAAAATGGAGTGCTTCATCATCTTACCACTAGGTGCTCTGTAATCCAATAGTTTGTTTTGAAAGAAATTATTTTTAAAAAAAAAGATGAATTTGTCTGTAGGAATTCAGTAGACCAATAAAGTTGGTATGGTTGGCTCCAAGGGCTGTTACCTTCTTGACAGTGCAGCTCTTTAATATCTGGAACTGATACTGAAACAATTGGGTCTACTGATTTTCCTGCAGTTGTTCTTTAATTATAAACATTATTTTTAAATATTAGGTTTTAGTATCTTAATGCTTATTTTATATTAACTTCTTGTATTCTAATGCCCTCTTGTGCTGCCTGCTCTGAAACCCTCTGCATGTATAAGTACATCGGCCTCCAGTTGTATGACCATCAGCCCAATTGTGTATATCTCCCTTTTCTTTTTGCCTGTATTAGCAATGCCCATCTCTGGGTTACTAAACAAGAGCCACAGGATGTTGGCTGAGTGTTTTGTTTGGAACCACAAACAATTGCAATGAAAAAATACCAGCTGAACTGCCCCATTGATGCAGACAGTCTTAAAGGACAGTCTGTGCTAATATTTGTTAGCTTTGTTCCTGCATTTGGTAAGGGAGCAGTTTTGCTTTCGTCCTTGAAATCACCATTTACAATCCCTGTGGGAGAATTTCTTGTGTGTCTACATAGCATGCAAGTTGCTGTAAAATGCTACAAATTGATTTGGAAAAACATATATACAAAGTCTCTGCTTTGGCAGAGGGGTTGGACTCGATCTCTGGATGTCCCTTCCAACCCCTATGATTCTGTGATTCTGTGGAAGCTTTGAAGTAATGTTACACTAACAGTATTTCTGTTTTATGTATCCTTCTCTGGGCTGTACTGACATCTCTTTATTTTCCATTACTGTTGTTGCACGGTAGCTTTTACTAATTTCAGGAGTTCTTGTAGCATCCCTTCAGGATAACATTGGAGAAACAGTATAGGAAAGCTTGTTATAGTTAAGTTCTCAATTTTTTTTTTTTCTTTTTTGAAGGTTAAAGGGAACAGTGTCTTTAGAAGATGGAGATAAAACTGTATTTTCTAAATGCGTTTAGTCTCCAAGGATAGTAGATAATGTAGTCTCAGCTTGGCTGCTATGTTTGCAGCCATAATAAGGTATCTCAAAACACAGTAACATCTGTTTGTTCTTTGGAGTGATTACAGTTTCAGGAAATATGCAGACATAATAATTGCACCAAGAACATACAAAACTTTGAAGAAGTGGTTGAGGAGTAGTGAAAACTATTTAAGGCCAAAATTATTACATAGCCCTGTTAGGGAGCTTTCTTGGTTTCCCTTGGCTTGTGTAGGCTGGGACAAATGCAAATTTAATTTGTCAGAGAAAAGAAGGCAGCTGTTCTTCAACTGTCACTTGATTAAGGTCAGAATACAACATCATTAATTGCTTTGTTGAATACTTATAAATTCATCACATTTAAACTTCCAGCTTCAATTTGAACTGCAAACCAACAGAACAAAGCCTTTTTTAAGATTTTTTTTTCAGTGCTAGTATAAAAGAGGCTTTCAGATCTTCAGGGAAGGATTGATTTAAAACTAAGAATGAGCCTTTTAATTCAGGACTGTATGGTTTGTACTAAAGTGACAGTACAATGATTTGACCAATATTGTTTGCAGTTTTAGAACATTTATGTGCAATTCTGTGCTGTCTATCTGAATTAGTTTCCTGGACAGAAACACACACAATTCTGCATACTGCAATCTTGCTGTTTTGGTTTTGTTTTTTTTTAAAATTCAATATGAAATTTAAAATACCTTTTAAGGTTTCGCGTTCTAAACTATTTAGGTAAGTGCTCAAATAAGGGTTGTGGTTTCTGATTTATTTTTTTCTTCCCCATTCCTATATATGGTGATCTGTGAAGCTGAACATGTACTAAGCAAAGAGTTCTGTTGTTCCTTGCATTTTAACAATGTCCTTGATTCAGAAGTTAACTGCTTCATGAGTGTTAAATAGTTCTGAGCATTCTAATCAGATATGTAAACTTCTTGTATATCTATCTTCATTCAGCTTCCTAACCTGAGAATTCTCAATAAGAGGATCCTTTTTGTTCAATTTAAGTTGGCTTCTCAAAGTTTCGATGGCTTCTTTCTTTGGCAGATAAAAATGAGAGATTTGCTTAAGGTAGGGTGTTTATGCCAGAGGTGAATAAACAGATGTTGATGTCATGAACTGGAGACAAAACTGATGGCATGAAAATTCCACAGCATCATGTTCTTTCCACTGAGTAGTGCAGGTGGCAGTTTTTACCTGTTCAAGACCTATGAATACATTTCATTTATCTGGATTATGTTTGTGCTTTCAAGGCAGTTCTTCCTTGCACTATTGCTTTGTGCTTTAGGTTGTCTCTTAAATAGGAACTCAGGTCCAAAATGTCCACTTCGCTTTCTAATAAAATTCTGCATTTAAGGCTTTAATTGAACAAAGTCTTTGTTTTGTTTGTAAATTAACATTTGAAATTCTTAAAAAAAACCAAACAAACAAACAACAAAACTAAACTAAACTAGAAAGTTTCTTAAATGTGTAACTAATGTTCCATCTGTGAGATCCACAGTTGAATAGATTTGTTGTAGAACTTAGGTTATCTAAATACAGATACCAGTAGGTGGTGCCACCTATACTGTAGTTTTTCCACTTTTGAATGCTAATTTTGCTTCCCCTGGAGCAAGTGAACAGATTCAGTGTCTGATAGCCAGTTTTACAATATTTGACCCAAGGCTTTTCCTTATTATATTTCACCTATTTAGAAAAAGTCAGTTTTAGTATTCTACCCCATAAAGAAACCTTTTGTATTCTGTGATGAAGTAATAATGATGCACTGTAAGACTTAATTTTCCCTCAGGTATATTTAGTTTACAGAGATGAAATTATTAGCTCTCAGCAGGCAGCTACTTGTTCAGATTAGAATAAAACTTTGTGCTGCTTTTTAAGAGATCCCACGCAGAAACTCCCTCAATTAAAGCACACCCCCTCAACTCAGCCAAAGTCATTTCTTAATTTAGTTCATGCATGTATATATGAAGTAATGAGACTTTCACTTCTCTCAGTTAATGACTAAATGCTTATAAGCTGGTAGTAATTTGCTGCAGTTAGTCATCCTTGACTGTATGTTCCAACAAGCTAAAAAAAATGTAAATACTACTTCAGTTATTGATTAACAAGAGAATAAAACTGTTAAATGGGTAACTGGGATACCTCTAATGTTTCACCAGGAGTTTTATACATTATCAGAAAGCCACATAGCTTTGCCTTTTTCAGGTGGTGTGTTTTTATGCTTCTGTTCCACAATTTAAACATGGAATTTTTCCTGTTTCTTTGACATTGCCCAATTTTCATTGCTACTGCTGTTCTGTGGGCTTTGAGTTTTTGTCCTGATTTTCCTCCTTTCTTCATGAATCCAGCTTTGTTTCAGGCAAGCTCTACATGAATCCAATTCTACTCTGCTTCAGGGCAAGCTCTATCTTTTTTTTTTTTTTTTTTTTTTTTTGTGAAGTAAGATCTTTCCTTTCACGGGCAGTTTCTCCCTTCAGATATCCGAAGTTAAGATGTTTCTCTCCAGTTATATAAAAGAAGATTTTTAGGGTTTATCTCCTGTTTACTGTGTTCACTTATGTTCAGAAAATAAGGCAAAGAAAGCATTTGTTTTGTTTTTATGAGGTTTTCCTAATGATATAAGACTCAAGTGTGATATCTGTGGTTGGTTTCTCTCCATTTAAAATTGGTATATACAGAGTTATGCAAAGCAGCTCTATTGTTCAGTCTTTTGTGAAGCGATGTCATTAATCAAGTTTGAAGGCATTTATTCCATTTTTGCAGCCAGATACTCTGTAATGAGAAGAAACAAAGTATGAGCTTAGGAAAATAGGAATTGCACACCAGAATTCCCTAAGGGAAAACAGGTGATGCTATGAATTGGTTATGAAGGATTATAACTAAGGAAAGATGAATGAAAATAAGGGAAGTTCTTATATTTTGCAGTATTGCAATTAGTGTGATTGCTAGTTGAGATTGCCACTTCACCCACTTAACATCATCTGTTGAGATTTCCTTGATGTAATAACATTCCTGCATTCATTTACAGGTTCACTGCCATTAGAATAGACGTCCTTGTCTTTCTGGTTTTGTTTGCAATTGCTCAAAACAAAAATCCCCCCCCCCAAAAAAAAAACCAACCAATAACTAATGGAGCTCACTGTAAAGATTTCTAATTTTGTATATTTCAAAGTATTAGAATATTCCTTATATCTGGAAATTGCTTGAAGGCAAGAGGTCAAATTTCATGGTTAAGATGGTGTTTTCCATTTCATAGTCATTCTTTTCACAAGCAGAACAGTAGCTCTGCTTGTAGACATAAACATTTTTTTATAACCTTGAACATAAATTGGTTGTTTATTTTATAATCTCACTTTATATATTTGTTTGCAGGTTGGATTTGCTACCATTTTATGCAAGGCTGGTTGCCACATTGCATCCCTGTATGTCTGATGTAGCAGAGGATCTTTGCTCCATGCTGAAAGGAGATTTCAGATTTCATGTATGTCCTCCTCATTTAGCTTTTTGAATTCAATTTTACTACTTCGATAATCGTAATCTTTTGGGAAAGAATAATGCTTTCTATCACGTAGATGCTAATTCTTAAGTTCAGCAACTCAAGCTAGAGTTGTTTTCTGCCATCTGAGCAGATTTGTTCTTAAATGCTTGATTTGTATATTTTAAATTTTTTTTGACCTATCAAGTATCTGTATATATGCATTGTTTGTAGTATCTTTCTTATTTTCCATGTTAAACAGTGATTAAAATAAACTGTGCAACAATTGAAGGTTGCAAATCTTATAAACTCTAGTCCAAATGAAAGCGTTAGCTTTCTGTAAATTAGTAACTTGCACTGGAAATGAGAATTGACTTAATTCTAACCAGGCCCCCATTACAAAGTTACTGTTATAATGTAGTGGTTACTATTGTAATATAGCACTTGCTTCTAAAATTTTGATTTTTACAGTTCTCACTAACCAAAGTTTTCATTCCTTGCAAATGTATCCTAGAATCATAGAATGTTTTGGGTTGGAAGAGACTTTTAAGATAATCTAGTTCCAACCCCCTGCTGTAGGCAGGGATACCTCCCACAAGATCATGTTGCTCAAAGCCCCATCCAGTTGGCCTTGAGGGTGGGGGCATCCACAGCCTCTCTGGGCAGCCTGTTCTACACCACAAACTGATTGGTATTTTTCACTGTTATTCCTTCTACAGTATTTTAAGTTCATATAATAGAATTAGTTATCCTGTACAGTGTTGATTCCTTCTGTTTTCTGAGTTTTATGGCACAGGTTTAAAAACTTTTTCATAATATTGACATAAAATATATATTAATTGTTAACTACAACTATTTAAGTCCTAAATGAACTCTTTATTCTCAGGGTAAGTTATTTATGTTGTGGAGAAATAAAATTGTCTTGTTTGGTATGATTATGCTTAGAGCTAAAGCTGTGTTTTTCACTAAAGTTGTTGAATATCTCATTTAAAACAAACCAATCAAGTGGAAAAGAGCATCTGGCTGCTCTTTGGTAAACCATACTTGAAAAAGCTGTCAAGGTTCAGAATCTCCTTACTAGTAGCAATCTTAATCTTGTGCTTACTGAGTCAAAAAATACAGTTTAGAATCTGGCCAATACTTTGCCATACCCAGTGTGATGGCAATCTTTGGTTGGTATGTGCTTATACAGAGATAGTATAGAATTCTGGGTGGGTTGGAGTCAGTAGGGGAAGAAGTGCAAGAACAGAGCATAAGAAACTGAGGAAATGTCAAACACTTCAAAATAGCAATGCTACTTAAGAATGTTTGGCTGAAAACTATTTTCTAAGTTGGTATTTTAAAATCAATTTTTTTTTTTTCTTCAGGTAAGAAAAAAGGACCAGATCAACATTGAAACAAAGAATAAAACTGTGAGGTTTATTGGTGAGCTTACCAAGTTTAAGATGTTCTCCAAAAATGATACTCTTCACTGTTTAAAGGTTGGTGGTTAGTAGTTGTACAAATGTTTTTACATGCTGATATCATGTCCCTATCATATTTCTCTTCAGGTAACTCTTGATGTTGATCTGTAATAATTTCATTGCATAGGATGTTTTAAACCCTGATGTCTGTTGTTACAGCATATGAGGACACTTCTGTAGCCATTCCAGAAATTGAAAGGTTATGATTGTATGATAGTAGGGACACTTTGAAATATACTCCCACATTTGAACATAACCAAATTGCTATTGAATTTGTTTGGAAAGTAATGGTAGAGTCTAAATTTTGGATCTAGGCTATTTGTGGAATTCCTTTTTAATTAGGTGAATATTTCTAATTTTGTTAACAGTTAACTTGCTTTTTTTTTCTTAAAGACTGTGAAACACCTCAGTAGTATAAAGTATAGTAGCTAAAACTTACTGCCTTCTGCAGTTCAAAAAGATATTTAACATTTATGTTTTTATATAAATGCCTTCCAGATGCTTCTGTCGGACTTTTCTCATCACCATATTGAAATGGCATGTACTCTTTTGGAAACCTGTGGAAGATTTCTCTTTAGATCACCAGAATCTCACTTAAGAACCAGTGTTCTTTTGGTAAGAGGGAAGCATATTGACTTACGTGTGAGGGGAATTGTCATGTACCAAGTTAAACCAATTAATTATTTGTTTGGTTTATGATGTGGTCTGACTTAGCGGTGTTTGTGAATGGTGTCTTTGATGTCAGTTACAATGTTTGGGTACCAGGAAGTGAAACTTTTCATTCAAGTTTATCCTGAGTGCACAGAGAGGATAACCTCCTGAACTCTTTTAATGAAAACAAAGTTGGTATGAGAGAGGGTGAATCAGTCTTCCTGAAATCCTGCATCTTTGTTATGGATTAGAGCTGAGGTGGACTCACTACATTCTAGTCAGCTCTGGTGATATCAGCCTTTGTAGTCTTGTGGACTTGCAGCTGTTGTTATTAGTAGCTTACACAACACTGGGCGGACTCTGATTGCACCTACTGTGAGAATAGCTTTCTGAGCGTTTTCTGGAGAGCTCCTGTTGATTTCTAAATCTGTTAGTGACTTAACAGAAAAAAAGGAAGTTTCTGAAACAAGAACTATTGCACTTGAACTACATATAGTGTATTTGATACTATTTGTTGGAAAGCATTAGTAAATGGAACAGGAGAAGGTGTGTTAGTGAGAGATGTAGACAGTTGTGGAACGTGGTAGTCTCTTTCCTTGGATAACCATCTGTGGTTTTCAATTTGAAGAACAAGTTTTTGAAGACACTGGAGGAAGGGATTTTAAAAATAAAGGTTCTTGATAATTGAGATAAGTGTGGAAGTGTTAGCCTTATGTCTAGATAAGTACTGGCAAAGATTTAAAAATAATGGGCTGGTTTGGGGCTTCTTTTTTCTGTATGAATTTGATTCCTTAATAATGTTTCCTGTTTTGTAAGGTGATCCTAAAACTTTGTGTCCGAGGCAAGACATGTTGTTGAAGTACTTCAAAAGTAGATGTTAGCAGTAGGAAATTGAATTAAATTAAAAGCAGCAAAAGCAGATGCAATGCAGTGACTAAACCATTTTTTTTAATTAGAAGTCTGAATAAATGTTTTAATGTTCCTTGCTGACCTTCAAATCCTTGCGTTGTGGCAAGATTATAGATGTGCATCTGCAGTAATGAAAGTAGTCACTGCATGTGGAGGGGAAAGCAGACATGGATTGTGCTCCTGGAAGGGAATAGTTTACAGGTTCAGAGTCTCGTTGTAGAGGCAAGGCTTTTAAAACCTATGTAATATCACTGTCTTCTGTACGTATCTTCTATCTCACCAAAGCACAGGCTTACACTTGATAGGTGTTTCTCTTGAATCTATAGCCTGCCTTTCTGTCCTACAGAGTTAATAGTGCAGCAATTGTTACTTGGATATAGTGCAGTACAACCTATTTTCCACAATAACACTGTTTCTTTCTGAGCCTCTTTGAACGTCACACCATTTATTGCTCTGGTGCTGTCACAAGAGGAAAAAGATGGGTAAATTAACTGCAAATCTTTGTTGCGGAATCCTTTTTGAAAGGAAGCAGGAATATCTCAGTTTTCTAAAGATTTACTGGATGGAGCTACTGTGATATATTACTGATTATTTAAAGATTCATCTTTTATCAGGGCTATTTTTATTTCTTTTAACTCTAGCGAGTTTTTCAAATTCCATCCCCTTTATGTAATTACAAAAAAATAAGACACAACACTAACTTGGCTATAGGGTTGGTACGTTGATAAATGGGTCACTTGAATTGCTGCTTTGGAAGGAAGGTTAGCGTTATCTTGACATATATTTATGTAATTTAATCATGGTAAAATACCATTCTTGTGTTACACCATTGTTGGTTTTTGGTTTGTTTTTTTAAAGGAATACTTGTAGCTTTGTTTTTGCTCTCCAAAAGACTGCATCAGTCTTAAGGGTTTTAGTCCTTAGATGTAGTGAATGATACCAAATTATTTTTAAAACTCTAAAGCAATATCACTTGCTTTTGTAAACATATGGGATTGACATTACCCAGTAACTCAGTTCTTGGGTTGACTTGTTCTATTGATCAAATTGAAACAGTAGAATCCTGATTGTACAGACAGACATTTTGATGAAGTAGTTACCTCTAGTTAGAACTAGAATATATTAACTCACTATAAAAATAGTATTTCCAAGAAAATTAAAACCTTGCTTCTGAAGTGCTGGAACACAAGGAGGGGCAGGACAGCAGCTTGTAGTAGAACATAGCAAGTGTCTTAAGACAACAAACATGCTTTCTCCTGATGCATCTAGAAAATTTACAGAATATTCCTAGCATTACAAAATGAGGTTTTGAAACTTTCTGCTTTTAAGTGCCTTTTCCCTCCTAAGTGTAAACAGCACATAAAGCAATTTCTGTTCCCAATTGCTAAAGTGCTGTGCATCCATTAAGTATCTGTAAATTTTCTGTTATTTGACAGGAATTTCCCATTTGGAGAGGAACACTCATAGGGAATCAAAGAGGAGGCCATTTGTGTCATAGAAAAGGTTAAAAATGAAGTGCATTAGTGCTGGTGTCATATTGAGACCTCCCAAGCAACAGATAGACACAATCTAGGAAAATTACACTATTTGTGGTGTTACTGTTACGCAAAAGTGTTCTTTGGCATTGAATTAACAGTTGAAACCCAAGGCTAGGGAGCTGTTCAAGCATGTTTACATTTCAGTTTAACTGAACCACAGTCTGGTAAAAGAAACTTTGAGTTTGTTCAAGTTCACTAGAAAGTTCATTAGCTTGAAAAATTTGTGCATCTTAATCAAAGGTGTATATCCTTGTGTTTGTTTGACTGGACTGTATGAATAGATATACAAACATGTGTATGTGTGTTTTTGTATCTTAGTTTGTATTTGTGTGTATTACCAATAGGTGACCCCTACTGACGAAGTAGTTTAAATCTGTGCATCTTTTTTCCCATTGAACCACCTTAGAGTGATTTAGAATGTATCAGTTTGATGTACATTAAAAATACAATTTGTAGAGTTATGTGCATATGTGTGTAGAAAGGTTTTGTAATCTAATTAAGCTCATCTTCTTCTTTAGCTGTAAAAATCAGCAGCCTAGAGCTAGTACTTGTTTTTGTGCAGAATTTTACGTTAAGAAATTGTTAAAAAGCCACAGAATCTGTAAGTATATATCCAAAATGAAATATGGAGAAAAGATTATATTCAGTGAGGAGAATGAGGACAGTCCTAACAATCACAGTAATTGGTGTTGACATATGTAACAAGCTTTGGCATATCTCATTCTTTTTTCCCCGAAATATTCCTTTGTGGTGGGTAGAGTTTTCTGTGTAGTCTGTTCTGCTTTGGTAAATAGCAACAGTGGAGCACGTAATAAGAAAAATACCATTGCTTAAGCCATTGAAAATTCCCCTGAAGCCATCAATACAGACTTCTCAGAGTTGCACACTGCTGTATGAAATAGGTTGGTATTCTCATGTTGTTACATCACATGTGTCAAGAAATCAGTATTTCAGCAACGTAGATTAGATGTGGTTAATGAAATGAGCTACTTTATTAAAAATACTATTTTATTGAGCTAAGCAATATTATTTAGATTTCAAGTTGTTAAACTGTAAATAAGTTTTCAGAAACTTTTTGATGGTTATCCTTCAAAAGTAGAGCTTGTAAAGAGAAATAACACAGACAACAGCATAGAACCATATCATATATGCTTTCTTTTCTTCTCTCCAGCCTAGCTTTTTGGGTCACTTCTTGTAATCTTTTGTTTCCTTAGTTCCAAACTTAACTATAACAGACTTAAAAGTGACTTGAGAATGTAGTAATCAACATCATTAACTGGTCATTTGCATTTCCAGGAACAAATGATGAGAAAAAAACAAGCAATGCATCTTGATGCACGCTACGTTACAATGGTAGAGAACGCCTATTATTACTGTAATCCCCCTCCAGCTGAAAAAACTGTGAAGAAGAAACGTCCTCCCTTACAGGAATACATTCGTAAGCTTCTTTACAAGGATCTCTCAAAGGTCACCACAGAGAAGGTAAATTTCTTCAAGTCCTTTATGGAGGCGTTGCTGAAAGTGATATACTATAAAATTTTGAAGGTGTGCAAATGGTGATTTTCTTAATTGCAAGGAATAGGAATCATTTTGGTGCCTCTGATTGTTAAGATTGTTTTGTTTGTTCAAATACAGAGACAGATCTGCATTCTCCATGTCAAAAGCTGAACAGACAGAAAGAAATAAGAATTTTTGTGCTAGATATCTTATATTCAGAGTCAAAGATAAAAGATAACTGTTAAATACACACTGTGAGAACAAGGAAACTATGGGGCAGATTGATTAGTAGCTAGAGAACAGCAGTTTGGTTGTGTCTATAAAGTGGTTGAAGAAAAGAATTAGGTTACTTGAAGGTGCTTATTGAAATTTTCTTCCAGCTGTGTGTGTGGGAGGGGGGGAGCACATTGGGTAACAGTGAATATTTTGATGTTTTATGTGCCAAAATGTGAAGCTTGTCTTAAAATTTTGCTTAGGTCCTGAGACAGATGCGCAAACTGCCTTGGCAGGATACAGAAGTAAAAGACTATGTCATATGCTGCATGATCAACATCTGGAATGTGAAATATAATAGCATTCACTGTGTAGCCAACCTCTTAGCAGGGTTGGTCCTTTACCAGGAAGATGTTGGAATTCATGTTGTGGATGGAGTGCTGGAGGATATTCGTCTAGGAATGGAGGTATAAAAATTAAAATCAAGATTAACCCATACACATCTACTTACATTGGAAGGAAGACAGTAAAATAATCCCACTTAAAGGAAAGAATTATTATATTCTCTTTTGTCTGACTTTTCTACCCATCCGTTGTTTTCTTCGTACATGTTCATTTAAAAACTAGTAATAAGAAAAATAAGTCAACAAAGATTCCTAGGACAGTTGTTTTCCTCCTTTGTCATAATAAGGATGTGCAACAAGGATTGTCTTTACTCAGCATAGTCAGATTGCTGGGGCTTAAGTCACTTGAGACTATTCCATCTTTTGACAGTTTATAATTGGAGTTTTCTGGGCAGTAAAAAAAACAGTCTTAGATTTCAGAATGAAAGTCTGTTAAATATGTATGAATATTTATAGTGGCTTCTTGCTGGCTAGCTTTCATAATTGTCTTCATTGCTTTTTAGTTTTGCCTAATACATGTAGCTTGTATTGTGATATATTTTATCAGATATTTATACTGCTTTTCTCTTAAATAAAATAAAAACACAAAGATTCTGTTATGGCTACATGGTAAGATGGTTTTGGTTTGTTTGTTGTTTTTTTTTTCATAAAGGTTAACCAGCCAAAGTTTAACCAGCGGCGGATCAGCAGTGCCAAGTTTTTGGGGGAGCTTTACAACTACCGCATGGTGGAATCAGCTGTAATATTTCGAACTCTATATTCGTTCACATCATTTGGTGTGAACCCAGATGGTAGTCCTAGTCCATTGGATCCTCCAGAGCATCTTTTCAGAATCAGACTTGTGTGTACAATCCTTGATACCTGTGGGCAATATTTTGACAGAGGATCCAGCAAACGAAAACTTGATTGCTTCCTTGTATACTTTCAGGTATTATAAACTTTTGTTCCACAGATTTCTTTAACAGCTCAGCCTATTATTTATTTCTCTTGGTTGTTCTCTAGTTTTTCAAGTCCTTTCTACCTAGTAAGTGTTTTATTTTAAATAAAAGTGTGTGTCCATACGTAGATGCTACTTTTGCTCCAACAGACTGGCCTAGCAGTTGATTCACTGAAGATTTAGGTCTGTCATTTAGGGTGTCTCAGTGAGTGGAAAAATGGCCTTACGGAAACCCTATGAAATCCAGTGGAGGTAAGTATCAGGTCTTGCAGATGGGATGGAGTAACTCTGTGTGACAGTGCAGTCTGGTACCAACTATCTAGAAAGCAGTTGTGCAGGAGCAAAGTCAAACTTCCTCGATTAACTGAATATGAGTCGGTTCTGCATCACTGCAGTATGCTGTTGGATTTCATTACTATGTTGCCTTGGCAAGAGTGTAAGCAGCAGATTGAAGAAAGAGATTTTATTTTTTCCTTTGGCTTGGTGCGTGAGGCCACGTTTAAAACGTTTTTATCCAACTGAGGGTTTCCTGGTAGATGAGAGCCTTGGAACTGTGCCGAATCTATTGGAGGGTCACCAGAATGATCAGGAGGCTTGTGATTCCCTTGTGAATTTGCTCAGTTCGAAGGGGAAGGTTAAATAGGGAGTGATTAGATTGCTATCTTCAGCTGCCTAATAGAGCTAGTGAAAAGGAATGCACGGGGAGAGAATGAGAGGTAATAGCAAAAAGATGCAGAAAGGAGAATTCTGACTGATGGATTTAAAGGAGAAAAGATGTCATAGCAGGAGTTTCAAACACCAAAATACGTTCCCTTGGGAAGATGATGAATTCCAGTCTGTGCAGCTAATTCTACAAGTGTTTGGACTTGATTTCTTTCAGCTTTCTTCTTTAAATTACACTAAAAACAAGAATATTCAAGTTAATAATGTAATGTGTTTTCCTTCTTTAAGGATGCAAATCCTTTGTCTGTATATTGGATGTATTTTAAACCCCAAATAAGTGAAGGAATCACTGTATTTGTTATGTGATTTCAACAGATGTTCATTTGACTGTCACCATTTCAATAAAGTTGCTATTACTCCTTCATTTTCAGACACAATTTAAGCATTCTTTTTGTTTTCAGATTCAGCTGTGAGGTCAGATTTAATTTTTACATTTCTATTGCAACTTACACGTACTGATCTTTTATAAAGTGAGCTGGATGATAAATGACTTGATGGTAGCTACAATCTTAAATCTTTCTGTAATATTTACTGCACCCTCCCCTCCATAATATGCTTTGGCGGAAATAAATTGTCTTAAAAATAGACGTAGGAAGAATTCAAAAGCTGGACAGTTTCTAAGTGCTCATCTCTTTAAAAAACTAGTAATCTGCCTTTAGAAGGCACCTCCTTTACCAGTGCTTTCTGTGCTCGGTTTTCATACTTTGAAGAGTCATAATGAAATAAGATTATCCTTAATATTTGTGATGCCCAGCGTTGTCAATCATAATTTAGTGTTAGCAAAACATCTAGTAGTTGTATGAAGTAGAGTAGTGATGTGAAATCTTTTGCATTTTCTAATGAACAGATGTGACCAGGTGTTAGAATCTTAGTAAGTGAAATAACTTATAAATGCCAGTGTATATACTATTTAAACTGAGTGTTTTGCGTTCTAGCGGTATGTTTGGTGGAAGAAAAGTCTGGATGTCTGGACGAAAGACCACCCATTTCCTATAGACATTGACTATATGATTAGTGATACACTGGAACTCCTCAGACCAAAGATAAAGCTCTGCGGTTCTCTGGAAGAAGCTATCAGACAGGTGCAAGACTTGGAACGAGAATTCTTAATAAAACTAGGTAAGAGAATGAGCTTTAGGGATTGTATTTGTGTATTTCTTAAGGTTACTGTTGTCACGATGGCAATGGGTAAGTATTGTTGTTCTCATTATATGATGCTTTTATTATCCTGATAGTTCTTCTACTTTATTTGTACTTTTGTCATTTCTCTTGAGATCATATAATCTCTAACTCTTATACGATGCAAAAAACCATAAAACCACCCAAGTGTATGTGATTATGTTACCTAATGCAAAAAGTAGGGAGTTCCTGCACACTGTTACTGTAGCCTGTTGATTGGTGAGCACTGACAAAGGCCAATTCAGTCATTCTGGTAGATTGATTGCTTCCGTCTGTTGTTCTTCCCAAGTCTAGACTTGACTAAAGCTGCTGTTGTCAAAGTAAGCTTTAGAGCAAGATTGCAGTAGAAGAGAGGTGGGTTGCTTTCCAAATGCTGTCAGGTACTTTAATCCTTAGATATCTTTTGGAATTAATTTTGGATGGGTCTTACATTTCAGCAGAGACCAATGGATGACTTGCTTTGATTGGATGATTAAACTTTTTTTCCTTGAAGTGTCTGTCAGCTAAGTTGAATGATAGCCTGTAGTTCCTGTTCAGAGTACTGAAATGTATATTTCTAAATTCTGATCCATGTATGCGTTTAAAATCACTACATTTTAGGAAAAAATGCCAGGCTTGCAAAACAGCTGAGCTGGCCAAAAGAAACCTGGTTAGTATTTGTCTAAAACTATTGTCACGTTTTATAGCTAGCCTTTCTTATTAGTTACTGGAAACTACTATGCTCATTTCTCATTATATAGAGTTGTTTTTTAATCTTCAGTTTCTATTTGAAGACCAGTTTCTTCATGACAAGCTTTTATATTTAAATTTTGTATGTTAATTATAGCCTTCTACGCATTTCATGTGCATAGACAAGTTAAATTTTCAGAATAGCCTTCAATCCGATGGGATGAGTTTGTGAAATTCCCAGGTAAATATGTTCGAAGTTATATTTTAAGATGCATTTCTATCTTTAATATGCTGGTTATTTAATGTGCCTTAAAATTGTCTGAAACACAGGAATTTTGTTTTAGCATGATCTAAATTACTAGATTTTATGCTCTCAGTATGATAAGTAAGTAACTTAATTCTTTTGCAAGGCACTCAGGAATTCCTTTGTACAAATCATAAGAACTTTTGTTCTCTGAGTTACTGTGGCTGTAACAGTTGAATTCAGCGTAGTTAAGTGTTGGGGGGGATTTGTTCACTGAGTGTGAGCCAATACTGGAGAACAACATTTTATTGTGTTTATTCTGGCACCAGCAAAACTCATCAAAAGTCCAACCTTTTAAAAAGGGACTTTCCCACCTTCTCTTCCTTCAAAACGTGCTGGTTTTGCGATACTACACTTACTGATAAACTTCTGTATAAGATGGGATGGTTCCTGCTATTAAACTGTTTGTTGTTGGTCTCAGAGAGATTGTCGTCTGTCTTTCTGGTCTCTGAAGGCTGTGATGATAGATGTGAACATGTCTGCAGGAAACTAGGGTTTTTTCTTACCTTAGTAAGAGCTTTACTAAAACTGGAGTCCGTGAGCTGTTTGTTCCCACAATTCATTGGCTCATGAACAATGGTACCAAAAGCATGTTGTGCTAAAGATTACAACGTGCTTTGCTTTTTTTCAATCTCAAGTGTAACTCCAGGCAGAAGAGTGGTGTACTGTTGCATACAGACCTTGAGTTGGGGTTTGGCCACTTTCTGTACCACTTTGGTGATTTTTTATTTTTTGTAATGAGAATGAACCTTTTGCATAGTTGTGGAGCAGCACGGATTTTGAAGAGCACAGCATTTATAAAAAGGATAAAATAATGGTTTGAAACCTCTGGAATATGGGAAAAGATTGTGTATGTAATTCACACAACTGAAATCTTGACATCTACCATATATACTTATACACAAATCATGTCATTTCTGATATTTTGTATCATTGAAGCATAACTGCAAGGATTCACTTCTTCCTTTAACTGCTCTTTCTGATCTTAGCTTTTGCCTTTTGAGATCTTGTAAAGAGACCGGACTGTGTGTATATGGGTATTGAAATTCTTAGAAGCATCTGGAGGCAGAGCAAAAAAAAAAAACCAGAAAAAAAAAACCACAACCAACTCTGGTATGCTCCAAAACTTGTCTATTCAGAATCCAGACCTCTGCTTAGGAATTGCATACTGCTGCATTTGTTCTGTGTGTGTGGCAGAGAATGAATGAGGAACGTCCCGAGCACAGATGTGATGTCCAGAAATCTTTAAGCTAACTGTAAACCCTAAGTGTGTGGCTAGGAAGATTTCAAAGTATGAATGTATGGCAACTGTATTGACTCCTTAGAAAAACAGATTTGCTGTGTTCTGGAAGGCTGACATTGGCATCACTTTCTGGTTGATTGAGCCATGGTCCTCTGGAGGATTTAGTGACTTTGTAGGTTAATGTGGGAGGAAAAAAAAAAAAAATTAGCACATACTGTTTTATCTATTACAATCTTTTAAAGTTTGTTCTGTTTTGCAGTGGACGGCTTAATTTTTGCAATAGTTGTTTTCTAAAAAATCTTTATTTTTCTTCCTAAATATCAGAACTGTGCTCAACCCTTGAGTATTTTCTCTGAAAACAACTCTAGTACAAATTTATTGCTGAATTGCACACCGAAGCACTGAAAGAACCTAAAAACTTTTCACTACCGTAGGAATGCTGTAGGTAAGGGATATTACATTGAATGACACCTTTCTGAAAAAAAGGCAGAGGCTCAGGGAGTTGCACTTCATTCCTTGCACACCAAGTTAACTAGAATGGCTTGAAGGTCTTACGCTTCAGTGCAGTTTCAGTAGTTTCATTTTTTTGCAGTGTTCTAATTATTTCTTCAAATTGCAGGTCTTGTGAATGACAAAGATTCCAAAGATACCATTACAGAAGGGGAGAATCTGGAAGAGGATGAAGAAGAAGAAGAAGGTGGAGCAGAAACAGAGGAACAATCTGGAAATGAAAGTGAAGTCAACGAGCCAGAAGAAGAGGTGAACTTAATGATTTACCTTGTCTTGTGTAAAAAGAATAAGTAATTTTGATACTTTTATTTTACTTTAATACTTTCTGAAGCCCTTGTATGTCACAACTTAGCTGATGAAATATGAGTATGCACAGCCAAGTCAGTACACTGGGAGTATCTCTGTCCCAGTTTTCTGTATACAGAAGTTGGAATGCAGCGTGTCTGAGACTCCAGAGAAATTGGTAGAAACTTGAACTGTCAGTTTTACTCATTGTGTGCTGCTCTTCAGCAGAAAGGTGCTACTGGTATTTTGGCATGAAAAGACATTCAGATCATTGTCTTTATCTGTTGTAGAATCAAATGTATTGACTGGATGACAAAGCAGTCAGGTAGTAAAAAATAACAGGTGTTTGGAGTGCACCAACATAATGTGAATAAATAAGATTTATAGAAAGTAACGACCTTCCTTGTTTACTGTGCCAGTAATCTTTTAATCAAAGTGGTGTAGCCACTAGAAAAGCAGACATACATAAAAATTCCATCTTGTCACTATGACACAGCAAAGTTGATGTGATAATGTTAGTATTATGATGAAATAAATTTATCAAGGAAATAGGCAATGCTTTTTCTCCTGTGTTTGGGTTGATTTGGTTTACTAATAAGCTGTCTTCCAATTGATGACTCAGCATCGAAGTTTATGAAGTTTGCCTGATTTTGTGGTTTTGCCCACAGATTAATAATATCATTAGAATAAAAAAAAGTTTGTTTTAGAGCAGGAAAAGGGACATCTGGAGATCTTGTCCAAATACCCTTGCTCAAAGCATGCTCACCTGCAGCTGGTTGCCCAAAACAATGTTCAGTTCAGTTTTCTCTGAAGATGGGTACTTTCAAACTCTCTAGGCAATCTGTTCCAGTGTTTAAAGACCATCACAGTAATAAATAATCAGAAGAAGGAAAAAAGAATTCCCACTGCCATGGCTAATGTGTAAATGAAACTTTCCAACTATTTTTTTTTACTGTATATTCATGAAATTGCGTAGTAAATATAGCTGAGATCAGGCTGTAGATTTGCTGGGAAACAAACAAAAAAATCAAACTCTAAGACTGAACTAAACAAATTCAGATGGAGATAGATTGGGAAAGATGCAGAAAATGTGAGAGGAACCAAGTGCAAGTGGGTTCCTTTGTTTTCCTCTAAGTTAAATATATGTTGGTGTGCATTTATCTGTGGAAATAGATACCACTATCAGTGAAGATTGAATAGAATCAGTTGTGTAAAGCCTTGTATTCCTCAGAAAGCAACTGGTGAATAAGTCTTAACTTCTTATCTTAAAAACAGTTAAAAATTTATTCTCAAATAATTAACATTAAATATTTCAGGAGGGCTCTGACAATGAGGAGGAAGAAGGTGAAGAAGAGGAGGAAGAAAACACTGATTATCTTACAGATTCTAATAAAGAAAATGAAACAGATGAGGAAAATACAGTATGTATCATTGCTTTAGAAAAGTGATTTATGCTGCTTTGTTTTTCTTTACTAAATGCTTTTTAGCCTGTGCTTTTCATAATGTAATTGGGAAAACACAGCAAGAATGCTCCTTGATATTTTTTTCAAATACATTTTAGGTCTTACATTTGCAGACTTCCACTATTAGTTTCTGATGTTACTCATGTAATAAACATTACTACAACATGCTTTCATGTGTCTGTGTATTTTCACAGGTAGGTAGACTGAAAAAGATTGCGTAAGTGATGGTTTTGCAATACCTGCAGTGGTAGCAAACTGGTATGGTAAACCAGTTAGTCTGCACTGTGTCTCAAAACTGAAAAGGAAACAAACCAAAAAGTGCAGAATACCTAAAATATAGGTTTTTTGAATGGTAAATCATAATATCTGCATCAAGCAGCTTGAGTAAGCCTAAATTGTAATAATGATTACTATAAAACTGCGTATCGGGCTGCTAGGTTTAAAAAAGCAGCATATAAAACAAGTTTTTCATAATCTGTGTTGTTAAGTTGAGAATAGACTTCAGCATTGCATGTAGCAGAGAGACAAGCAGCACTGTTGCCAGAAGCTGAAATGAGTTCCAGTGCTGTGCAGATAGTGGCTTTTACTTGGTACTAGTCTGCTGTTTTAACTATTAAAGCACTGGAACATGTGCTGACAGATGGTGCTCATGACATCCTGCTGAATTCCAGTTCCAATTTTAGGTATTGCTGAGTATTTCTTTACCAGCTTTGTGTTTCATTTTGTTTCACTTAAAAAAAGTTTATTTTTTCCAAGTGATAAGCTATACCAAGAGACATATTAAAGTAGTATTTTTCTTGTCACATTTTGCTTTCCAAATGCTGAAGAATGGTATTTGACTTGAAAAGACCATCTAACTTCATGGACCTCAGGGAAAATATTAGTTAAATTAGTTGTGTTGGAGGGTAGAGATCTCCTTGTATTCTTGTCAGCTGTGTATAATCTTATGTATGCTCATACTTTATGTCCAGAACATTATGAGTGACCAACCTTCACAGCAATGATTGATACAGCAAGTTTCAGAAAATATTTCTTTGAGAAAATAATCCAGGCTAAAACCTTTTGTAACTTTAAAAAAGAAAACTTTTGTGTATGTCATGGAAGCAATGACAGTATTTTTTACTTTACTTCTAGACCAAGTCTTTGTAATTCTGATACTGATGTAATGGCATTTGTTTTTGTTTTAACCCCCATTGTAATAGGAAGTAATGATTAAAGGAGGAGGACTTAAACACGTCCCTTGTGCAGAAGATGAGGACTTCATTCAGGCATTAGATAAAATGATGTTGGAAAATCTTCAGGTATAAATTTCATTTTCTTAAGTTAATGTAGCTGTACAACTTATTTATTTTTAAGTAACAAAGTGATTAATGCAAAATCAGCAGTACTGAAGAATGACTTTTTTTTCCTTGTGACCTCCTTTCTGCAATCGATGTGTTTAGATAAGTAGCTTTCAGATATTTAATAGTTTGTCCAGTGAATATGACACACTCACAGATATTGTATTGGATGAATAACTGCATCAGATACTAGACAATGCTTTTGACTTCAATGTAGGCTACCCAAGCCGAGCTTATTAATGGGTCTGAAATGTAGTTGCACTTAATTTTACGTAACTAAGTGCTGTACAAGATTGTCAATCACATCAGGTAAATATTTGAATACTGCAAACCCTGAATGCAGGAACGCATTAGTAGTATGCAGCAAAAAATTGCTTACTGCATAATGTTTGTTCTCAAGTGTCCAGTCAAGTCTCTCACAGAATCACAGAATTGCCAGGGTTGGAAGGGACCTCAAGGATCATGAATCTCCAACCCCCCTGCCACACGCAGGGCCACCAACCATCCCACCTAATGCTAGACCAGGCTGCCCAGGGCCCCATCCAATCTGGCCTTGAACACCTCCAGGGATGGGGCATCCACAACCTCTCTGGGCAGCCTGTTCCAGCACCTCACCACTCTCTCTGTAAAGAATTTCCCCCGATGTCCAACATAAATCTCCCCTCCCTCAACTTAAAACCATTTCCCCTTGTCCTGCTGTCACTCACCCTTTCAAAGAGTTGATTCCCCTCCTCTTTGTAGGCTCCCTTTAGGTATTGAAAGGCTGCAATGAGGTCACCCCGCAGCCTTCTTTTTTCCAGGCTGAACAAGCCCAGCTCCTTCAGCCTCTAGGTTGTTTTTCCTTCAAAGTTAAAATTTTAAGTATTCTGTCCCTGTAACTTCCTTCTTCACAAGCAAGGAAGCCAAAGGAAAATGCAGTAAAGCTTTGTGAATTTATTTATATGTACTCTGCATTCTTGGAATGCTCAATTTCTTCTCAGTCATAAAAACGTGAATGTTGACAGACTTACTGACATTTTAAGCATTTATCATTTATGTAGTTTACTTTCTTTTGATAGCAACGGAGTGGTGAATCAGTTAAAGTGCATCAGCTGGATGTTGCTATTCCTCTGCATCTCAAAAGCCAACTGAAGAAGGGTCCCCCACTTGGAAGTGGGGAAGGAGAATCAGAGTCTGGAGACACCATGCCTTTTGTCATGTTAACAAGAAAAGGCAACAAACAGCAAGTAAGACACTGTCAAGTATAGATTCCCCTTTAAATGGGGAGGGGAGGGACTGTCTTTCACTTCTGATGTCATAGTACAACTTTGACAAATAGGGAACGTTTTATTTCTTCATCATTTTCTCTGAATAGGGTACAGACCTCTTAATTTAGAAATACAGAAAATACTACACCTAGTTCCCTGGAATTCTTGGTTTTTAACAGAAATCAAGTGTAACAATTCTGTAGTTAAATTGCACTGTTTCTAATTTTCTTTGCTGATTACATTTACTGGGACAGTGGTATGTTTTCTGTCTATTAAATACATGAAGATGAATGCAAGTAGTTGGCAGAATGACTGAAATCTCAAAGGATAGGGAAAGAAAAGGTGAAGGAACACTGCAAAATCTCAGATTCTGCAGATATTGCTGAGAACACATTCAGCTTTAAGTCAACATATCTAATGTTTGCTAAGTTTCATTTCCTAAGTAACAGTCAATGGCTGAATCTGTTCAACTTGGAAAACAGTCATTATCTCTGAGGGCTGTTCTAGGCGTATCTTCCGGAATGAACTGGATGAATTTTTCAGAGAAACTTATATGGAAATGGAATCATCTCTGATTTTATAAAATCTTGTTGATTTAGAAAAACAATCAATGAAAATCATACCTTGCTTCATGCAGCCAAATACATTTCTCTTAGCTCTTTTCTCATGTGTGTGTTTGAATGTTGCTAGGTCAGTAAATGCGGAATATACAAATAAATATGCATGTTTGTATCTTTAAAGGACATAAACCACGACACAACTTGTCTTTTCAATTGTGTAAATTAATGATGAAAGTGAATGACTTTAGTGAGTTTGTGGACAGCAGAAATAAGGCATTGTTTCGTTCCATTACTCAGCACCTTTCAAGTATTTACTTCTCTCATTACTTTGTTTTTGATGTTTGTTACCTGAATTTCTGCCTAAGTCTGAGGTATATAAAGCAGAAACAGCATCTTCTGCATCTTAAAAATGTGTGTAGAAAGTGAGGTCTGTTACCACAAATAGTGGAACTAGTAAGTGTGATTCCATATCTGTTTTTTAGGCTTCATTATTCACTTAAGAAAATACTGTGCTAAGTGCTTTCGGAGTGTAAATAGTGTTACCTGCTTTAGTAGGCATATACAACTTGACTTTAGTAGTGGCTAACTGATTTCCTTACTGCATTTGTTGGGTTATTCTGTTTTTCTGGGATTCGAAAGCTGCATATGAAGTTCTAAATGATTTTTAGTAGGGAATTCTTAACTACTGTCATTGAGCAGGAAAGGGATATAGAGAACTCTGAAAACAAAACCCAAAACCTGACAGTGTTTGGCTTGGTCAGGGTAATTTACTGGGAATATCTGGAGTTACCAACAATTTTAGGGTCTTCGTACTCTGAAGGGAAAGTATTGCTGGCATTCTGTGGCTTGAAAAAGAAAGCAGAACTTGTTCAGGAGCTTTCCCTCCCTCTTTCCCCACTATTTGCTTTTGGGAGTAGGCTCTTCCTGCCAAAACTCCTCCAAGTGTTTCTAGAAATGTTTTAAAAAGGAAAAAGTCTGGACTACTAGACTACTCCAGTTCTCGTGTCAGTGAAAAGCTTCTTTGTCCATAGTTGTGCATTCAGAAAGAAATGCTGCTTATTTTTCTGTTAAAACTGACTACTAAGCAGGAAAGAAGAGGTGGGGTTGGAAATAATTGTTTCTTATAATACTATTTAAACATCTGAGAGCAGAATGTGCACTGAGTTTTACAGTACTGGATACCTGATTTACTCGTAACTTCTAGCTGTAAGTTTTCAGAATTCTAAACACGGGCAGAAAGATTATTCAGACAACCTGGAGGGCTGAAAGTAATTTCTTATCCTTACCATGAATCACATGGTAAAGCATCACGGCCTCACTATAATGTCAACGTAATAATTTCCTATCATTATGTTTGATCTCTTGCTCTTTGCTAAAAGTAGTGCTGCATCAAGAAATCTTAGCTGATAAGGAGGTACTTACTGGTGAAAATGGAATGTGGGCTTCCTTCTAGGAACTGATTTTTCATAGTTGACATCCACTCATTAAAAGCTCCATTCTCATGCCAGCGTTCTGCCTGATTTTATGGGGCATTGCCTACCAGTTTTTTGAAACAGAACACAAAAACAACTGATTGCTGTTTACTAGCAGTACACAACCTGAATTAATATTGATTGCAGGCTGATGGCAGTGAGAACACTTTATTTTATCATTCTGTTTAGGACTGTGATTAACAGAAGGAGGAGGTAGCAAGTGTACTGGATAGACCAGTCTAACAGTAGTTGTCCTGTCACTGTAAAGAAGCTGTGTGACAAAACCCACAGAAGTTGTAGCAGTAGAAATGAACACCATTATTGGAAATCACCCTTTAGCATCAGCATCATCAGCCACATAACATGAGAGAACAAGGGGAAATAAATGTTGGCATCATAAGGGGAGAGGTCCAAGATGTAATAGTACTTGGTTTTGTTTTGTTTTTTTTTAAATTGTCCAGGATTTCTGCCAGGTAGATATGAACACAGGTGAGTGGGATAAATTTAAAATGTTTTCCTGTGGAAATAAAAACTTGACAGAGTTCTTTTCCATGTACATCTCTCAAAATCTCAGCTGTAGTTTTCAGACAGGCAGTAGTGCTGAGAGGTAGTACTGAGCTCACCTTCGAAGTAACGTTAAGACAGATGTGTTGAATGTGCATATGCAGATGTTTGGCATTTTAGGGTGGAGAAAACAAATTTGGTAACGCTGTTCTGTCAAGGGCATGGGGAAGCACTAAAGAGCTAGAATAATTCATAAAAAGAGCACTGGCCAAGAAATGCTACAAGATAGCTGAAATTCTTAGAACATGTCTCCTGCATTTTCACAAAGGATAAAAGTGAAAATTCTGCTTGGAGGCTTCGTCTCTTTGGAAGTCAGGGAACTTCAGAGAAAGAGGCAGCTGGTTTGAACTGCCTGTGTTTCTGTCTCAGGACCAGTGTAACTCAGTGTGGGGATATATATATGGTGAGTCTGGCATCAAAATAAAGGAATAAAGCCTATGGCTATGTGTTCCTTGTGGAAACAAAATCAAATTTGTTCCTATAAATACTGTGGTGTAATTATCTATTGCCTCTCTTCTGTGTGCCTTTAGAGTACCTGAATACCTTGGATTTTCTCATGTGTTACTAAGCAAAGTACAGGTGGGGGGAGGGGGGGGAGAAAAAAAAAAACCTATATTTTTCAATAAGAACTTTGGTGGAAATTATCACATCACAATAATATAGAAATAACCATTATCCTTCTGTCTTTTGGCTTTTTTTTTTTGTGTAGGGTGATGTTTTTTGTTGTCGTTGTTCTGTGATGCACTTAAATATATTTTCATTTGCAGTTTAAGATCTTAAATGTACCGATGTCTTCCCAACTTGCTGCAAACCACTGGAACCAACAGCAAGCTGAACAGGAGGAGAGAATGCGGATGAAAAAGCTCACTTTGGATATCAATGAACGCCAAGAACAAGAAGACTACCAGGGTAAGAAAATGAGTGTACCTCATTTTTATCTTCAGAAAATCTGCAGAAATACATGTGATAATTAGCAGTACAAGATCTGAATATTCATTTGTAGCACTTAATAGAAAAACTCTACTTTGGTTCATCTTTTGTTATATACTCCCTGTTTTTTCTGTGCTCAAAAGTTTTTGCAGCTCTTCAGTGAAAGAGAGTTTTAAAGTCTCAATAAATATTATCATTTCTGTTTAATTTGGAAGAGTAGAAGAAATGGGATTACTCTTCCCTTAAATAACAATAAAAAAAAAAAATCTACCACAGAATGAATCTGATGTTTGTGGCACTGTCTCAGTTACTGGAAGAGAATTGAGTTGGATGCAAGAAAAATGAATTCAGTACAATTAAAGCTCTTGTTTTAGGTATAAATAGGCAAAAGTGTTTTGAAGTTAAGACTTGAAAATACTAAGTGGTGACCTCTGCCTAATAAGAAGAATCTGCAGCCTCAGCTTCATGTTGCTAGATATGCTAGGAGCTCTACAAGTCTGAGTGTGGGAAGAACATATTAACAAAGTTTCATACAAATTATGTGATCCCTATTCTTTTTAAGGGTACAGAGACCAAACATTTTGGAGCATGGGCAAATGGAAACAGTACAAATTCTATGTATCCCCTAAACCACTGCACTGGATTCGTTTGGTTTTGTTTCAGGCTCTACTTTCCTTGGCTTACTCAAACAGCAAAGAAAGTCAAAACAAATAAAATCGATGGTATTCATTTCTTACGTTAGCTTTTCCATTTAACATCTCTGAAGTTCCTGCTCTATTTTTTTTATTGTAAGGATGCTGCAATCTGGTGGTAATCACAGGATGAGTAGTTAATTATCAGGAAATCTCATTTAATGTGTTTAGTGAAAGGTCATTATTCATCATGAAATGGAAAAATTTAAATTAAAGCAGCTCTAATTGGGGGGGAAAAAAAAATCCCCATAAAATCAAGCCATGGTATCTAACACTTCCTCCTAGATTTTGATAATGCAAGAACTAAGCATGTGATCCTCAAAAGGAGTGTTTTTTCCAAAGCAAGTGTCTACAGAGCTCTGAAATTGTAATACAATATATTCTTAGTACATAAAAATGTTAGCTTACAAAAATGTTTTCCAAGACACCTGCCTTTTATAAAGCCCCTTCATGGAAAAGAAGCAGATGTCAGAGTTACACTCTTATGTGCTTTTTTCAGACTTCTAATGAGTTTCCTTCATTAATGACAGTTCTACTACTTTACTAATGGTCAGGGTGTTTGTATTCTTGGTTTATTTTAACTTATCCTATGAATTTGTGGGTATCTCTAAAAATCAGTCTGTTTAATTTATTATTTTATTGTAGCTGTGATTCTTATCCAAAAAAAGATGACATTCATTTTATTGTTGTGAAATGATTTAGGCACAAGTCAAATAGCATTCCTGTTTAGAGCTATTTGTGCTTGTGTGTATGCACACATTTTTAAATATATGTGTGTATTAAAATGCTGTGCAGTTGATTGGTTCTTCTGAAGAGTCTCTTTGCCTGTAACAAGTTGGTGCATTTATGCAGACATGAAAGAGAGTTGGTTTTAAACTTCTGTTTCAGGCTTTGAAGTTACCAAGGGAGTTAGAACTCCTAATAGGGTTCCTCAGGGTTGTCCTTACATATGTACCTAAGCTATGTAAATGAAAAAAGCCATAACAAATGAAAATTCACCTGTGTGAAGTACTTCACAGCACTATTAAATAAATTACATTTAGTAATGCTTATTATTATTACAAGCGTATTAATGCAGCCATGTGTTTGGTACTGAGTGACTGCACACAAAAGTCAGAATTGGATGTTTCTTCCCTAGAAGATGGGCAGCACACCCTCAGCCTAGCTAATCCATTGTGTTCCCTTGCCATTTCTTTCCTTTAGCTTCTCATTTCCTCTGTTTCTCAATTACTGACTTTTCACAAATTCCACTGATTCTTTTTCACAAAGAAGTCAGACATGTATGTGGTTCATTGCTTCTGGCACCTGCCTGACAGCGTACCATAACTTCTTCTTTTCTTCCTGATCTTGTCATTGCCTTGTCACAGAGATCTCTCCTGGTATGCAGAATTGTTTTGAAAGATGTTACAGATACGGGCTGTTCAATGTCCTGAATGGCTTTCTTTGCATTTTTTCCAAGTTTTGATGTGGTTTACTAACTGTTGACACCAATACTGTGTATTAAATCTTTCATAGGTTCATAGTTTCTCCCAGACTGGATGTATAGCTCACTGAAAGCTTTGTGTGTGTTTTGTAAATGATCGTACAATTCCACGGCTCTCCAATTCTGACTTATGCAAGTCTTTGGGAGAGTGGTGGAAGTTTGTTTCTTAGAGATGATGAGCATGTGTCTCCAATTCCAGATTGGAGATTAGCAGAGATTAGCAAACCAGACAGAACAGACTTTCAAACATAATCTGTTTAACAGCTTATTCCACTTTTCCCCCCTTTTTTTTTTTATTCCATCTGTTTGCTGAACAAGGAAGAGTCTTGCACAGGTAGACTATCAGAAATATTTCTGTTGGATGCTCTAACACGTGGGCAGAGTTTACATGAAGGTTTCTGCTGTGTATTTGTAATTATTTTGGATACTTAATTACCATTAACTTAGTCTCCTAAAGAACAGTTTTTATCTTAACAACAATGAAATGAAATCTTGCCAAGTGCCAACATATCATACTTTTACCTGTCTTGAACTGCCCAAAAGTTGGGTGTCCAGGGCTAAAGTGGGTGCTGCTGCCTCTTCTGCATCCACCTGCTTCTTCCCACTGCTCACATAGTGAAAAATCCCAGCCAGAAGACAGTTGGTGTAATATAGGTCAGCTGAGTCACCCTCCTCAGGTGTCTGTCTTCTCTGTAAAACGATCCTATTAGGGCTACTTTAGACAAAGACCTGACTTCTAGATGCTAATTTAGGACAAGTTTCTCACTGAGTGTTTAACTGAGAACAATGTTGTCCAACTGTTACTATTTCAGAGCAGTTTTATGGTATGGCTCCTCACAGTGCTGTGAACCTTTAACCCTACTTACGGATACAGTCAATGGCTGATATTTTTGGAAAGAAACTGTCATAGCTCTGTTATGAAGCACCTGTAATGAAAGCCACTGCTGGCAGTTTCTTCTACAGGAACATCTGGAAATGCAGGTTCACACTATGGGGTACTGTGGGTTTGTGCAGTTTTTTAAACTGAAAACAAAAAGCTGTAGTACAGCATGAAAAATGTTGACCCAGTCATAGTAAACTGTAAATAAGTTATTTGCTTTTTTTTTTTTAACTAAATGTGCTTGTGTAAATTCCTCTTCAATAAGATGTATAGAAAATGTGTTTAACTTCCTTTCCATATGAAATTCCAGAAATGTTGCAGTCTCTGGCACAGCGTCCAGCTCCAGCAAATACAAATCGTGAACGGCGGCCTCGTTACCAGCATCCAAAGGGAGCACCTAATGCAGATCTAATCTTTAAAACTGGTGGGAGGTAGGCCAATCTTCTTCTTAAATGTTTTAATTCTGGTTCTGGCAAGTAATTACCTCCATAATCAAGACAGGTAATGATCTACATAATTCAAGTAGATCTGTTGGTTGCTTCTTTTCTGTTGAAATCCTGAATAAGATTTTGTGCTTTTGATGTCTGAATACATCCTTGACAGAGGCTGGGAAGGCAGAGGGTTGTTTTTTAGAGTCGAGCCTCTTTGTTACTGGGGAAAAGATGCAAGTCTGCTTCCCCAGTGAGAGGGGGAAGAAGATGCACAGTGGTTTCTAGAGAATCTCATTGTGGCTTCTTTTACACAGAGACTGGTGACACACTGGAACAGGTTGCCCAAGGAGGTTGTGGATGCCCCATTCCTGGAGGCATTCAAGGCCAGCCTGGATGTGGCTCTGGGCAGCTTGGTCTGCTGGTTGGTGACCCTGCACATAGCAGGGTTTTGAAACTAGATGATCGTTGTGGTCCTTTTCAAACCAGGCCATTCTGTGATTCTGTTCTTAATTTGGTGACCTTTACATCTCTGTCCAGTATTTAAAAGCCTGAAGGGAAAGAAGGTACAGCCAAGGCAGGGGAGGGGTCAGAAAACCTTTCACTTGTGGTGCACAAGAGCGTAACAAAAAGAGGATTAACATGAGAACTATTCCTTAATGGTCATTCCTTAACCACTGCTTAATAGTCACTGTACAGCTTTAACATAATCTCAGTCTCTTTTCTTACTCAAAGTTATCTTCATAGAATAAGCTATGAAATTAACTCTGCAGCACAAATCTGAAAAGACAGAGGTTCAGATGAGATGCAATATTTTCGTGTTTCTCTTTTTGAATACTAATTTTGGGGGTGGATAGATGGAGCAACAAGTAGAAAGGGAAAACTTCACCTATCAAGTTTTTGTAAGCCAGAAATAAGTTAATAATGTAATGTTGTGTTACAGCAATATTATCAATTTCTCTGGTACATTTTTATAAGCATTTTATGGCATTCTGATCTCTTATTCCACGGGGTTCTCTACTGCTTTTATAGAAAAACCTCTTTTTGAAAAAGGACTGCATTTTAAAATAACTAAATGTAGCTCAATAAAATGAGTAATGCTGCCCATTCAGCTTTTTTATTTCACTGTGGCCTAATACTGTCATAAAAATAAAAACTATTGATTTACACTGAATTGCCATAATACCTGCAAGTGTTTCACAGCTAGCTGTGCAGTCTTCTCTTGTAGCTTTTTGTCATCTTTCTCAAATACCTTGCAGTCTGTGCAAGGAGTGCTCTGAAGTTACTCCTTAAATATAGCAGCATGCCCAGTAGATGTGGTAATTGAACAGTTTATGTAGTTCTTTTCAAAGCTTTTTTCTCCAAATGTTTAGGGGAAATGTAATATAGGATTTTACCATCAACTAGGTCAGACATTGTCCTGAGAACAGTTTGATCAGTGTTTGCTTGCTCAGATATTTGTGCCACGTGCTTGCAATTCCGATAAAATTTTGTGTTATGTAATTTGCTCTTTGTTCCCTTTAATCTATAAGCTCCTTAGAGCAGAGACCAGGAAGTTAGTTAGTGGGCAGGCTTTATTTGCAGCATAGTGCAACATTCAGGCTTGCAGTCGTGCATCAGTTGAGCCATCTCAGCCTGCAGAAAGAAAACTTCTGAACTCACAGCAAAGGATATTTAAGCAGAGCTTTGCTTATTGAGGGCTGGGTCTGCCCATGGCTTACCACCATAATATGGGTTATACATCACCTACATTTCTAAGAGCTTCTGACTTACAGGATATTTTCAGGATTGTCTTTTGACTTTGAAAGATGGGTTGCAGTGTTCCTGCGCAGACTGCCCTCGCTTTCTAGTCAACAAATTACCCCACCAACTTCCATGTGAACACTGATCTTTTCCTATTTATTGAGAGCAAAATTTTCATGCTCAGCAATTAATGTTGGTATCTGTTTGAAAGAAAGTAGTATCTGTTCGCTACAGATTCACTTACGTGATAAGTGAGCTGGTTTGGGTTGTATTTTTTGTATACAAAGAATACATCAGTTGTTTTCTTGCAGTATTAACTCTAAATTTACTGAAAGTAATCATGTCTGTTCTTTGAGAGAGGAAATTTAGAATGAAAAGTTGTTTGAGGATAAGGAAGATCTGAGCAAGTAAATCTCATAGATTCCGTTGCAAAGCACAGTCTCACAGGTTCTGAAAGTTAATGGCAAGATGAGAGTTTTGGTTGGCTAAGAGTGGAAGAAGAATTTGGTGTTTTAACTGCTAAACATATCCCTAATGACCAACATCTCAAACATCTTTCAGAAAGGTGGATCCAAATCTTTCTATTATAGTAGTTGACTCAAAAATTAAGAGAGGTACCAGAGCTCTCTTGTATCTTTTGGCTCTGCACAGCTGGATCTGGTTTTGCAAGTAACCCTGCTTGCCCAGCAGACTGAGTGACCTCCAGAGAGCCCTTTGAACCTCAAGTTTTTTTGTGGTTCTATTTTGGTCTAGCATGAATAAATGATCAGAGTAGTTCTAGAATTGATGTCTGGCTAATGACAGCAATTTCCCCACACGCACACACACATCTGCAACCCTTTCACCTGAGATAACACCACTGTAAGTGGGAGAGTGAGTGAATGACAGTGGCTGTAATGCGGGCATCACATAAATGAAAAAAGTCTTCCTGTAATATTCACTCTATTTATTAATAACCTGTTTCTGTGGTGAAAGAAATACTGCAAGCCTTTCCACTTCTGTCACATTTCTTGTTATTTGGTGTGTGCTGAACGCTGCATCAAAAATCACAGCTTTCTGCTGTTTGTTTGTAATTGCCTGCTTCTGTAGCCTCAAGTATTAGCACTTATTAATCCTGCAAGGAGAGGATTCGTTCTGGGGCACAAACATGTAAGGCTGACTGACTTTAAAGGCAATTTGCTGTGATTCCAATTAAAAGTGGAATTCCCCAGTTTGCTTCAGCAGAACTCAGCAGGCAGCCATCTTTACTTTTACCTCCAGTTCCATAGCATTGAAAGAGGACTCTGGTTATCCAGCTGTTACACTTCAGCAACTCTAAGTATTTCTTCATGTGGTATTATCAAGAAACCACTCTTATTGAAGTGGGGGGGCTGTTCTTCAAAACTGTGGAAGTGCTTTCCTTATGTTTTAAGAGGACTGAGATCCATTAAACAACTTAGCTCATAAAAGGAAAAATAAATAACCACATTTTATGATTTTCTTTTAAGCATAAGCTTCCAAGTAAGAAAACAAAATTACACTGAGAGGAGTCTTTAAAAAAGCAAAAACACTTGGTAGAGTTGAGCCTTGTCTTAAAAAAAAACCCAGTAGTCTCAAAGCTGGCTGCTGTTCTGAAAGTGTAGGTGAGGATAGAGGACCTGTCGTCATCAAAAGGCCCACTGGGATGCGTGCATAAGCTGACAAACTAAATCATACTTAATTGATAATTTCAGCTCTACAGTTTGCATCTGACTCTTATTTCCCTTTAATAAAGAAGAATGAAGCATGAAGGTAATAACAGGATGCTAGGATTTTATTAGCCAAATATTCTCATTATAGTATTTTGTTAATGCTGAAAAATCACAGTACAGCTAATAAGGAAAAATGTGAATTTAACCTCATGATTTCCTGTTCCAGCTGCTGGATGAGAATACTTCTTACATCACCCCCTCATAGCTGTTGCACTGATCAGTATTATATTTTGAAGCTTTCCATTCACTTATTAATGGAATGTCAGAAGCCATGGGCAGTGTAAATCTGATTGTTCTTATCCTGTTCACCTCAGCCTGGCTGGCTGCCATTCCCTTGTGCAGGGTGAACCCTCGGGTGCAGATGTGGCAGTGTCTCAGGAGTGGACAGATGTATTCCTTGGTTCATCACACAGCTTCTGAAATCTTCAGTTGTCATTTCCAGCAGTCTTTTGCATTCTTTTTGAAGATATGGAAAGAGCATTGCTTTAGCAGTATTGTTTTGCTCTTGCTTAATGCAGTGAAATTATTCCCATCAAGGTTTTCTCACTAACTTAAGTTCTCCCGATTTCAAGTGTAACGGATTCTTCCTCATTTCCTCATATATACTGAGGATTAGTGTTTCTGAGCATTGTTACAAGTCCCAGTTTTCTGCTCCAGGTAAAACCCTGCATCTTTATGTCATAGGGCATATGTGGCTGCTACCAACAGTGTGGCTGAGAAAATGACTCAGATGGTCTTACAAGTTAAAGGCATTAAGAACAGAGAAGGGAGGCAGAGGAGGTGGTTGTAAAAATTTGCCTTTGCATTCACAGTTGAAGTTGCTTTTAATGACAGCTCTGTACAGAGTTTGATCTTGCCAAATACAGGTTTGGATGGAGTTCTTTTGAACAAAAGGGGGTCACTTTTTTTTTCCTCTTATTACTTGCAAAATTGTATAGGAAGTACATAGCTTTTGTCTTTAACCACTGACTTTTAACTGTTCTGTGCTGGTTACTGGTTTGGGGAGAAATGTCACATGAAATACCTGTTTTTGGAAGTAATGCTGCTGCTGTGACTTCTACCAGCAGCATCCAGCCCCAGTCCTTTGGAACACTGTTCCCCTGCCTCATCTACCACCAGCATAGCATTCCACCTCCTGTTTTGGATGAGTGTAATTTGTACCAACTTAAACACATGCAGCTAGTTCTGACATTTCTCCCTCCCTCTGCATCAGCAGTGAAATTATTTCTAGGGGATGCAGGAGAGGTAAAAGCACAATTCTGCAATTCACTGCTCTTGGAAGCTTTTTCCCTCACTTGTAGCATTCTATTAAACATGTTGACTGAACTTCCTTGCGTTGAACCACATAGCCAATGCTTTTGAGTTTTGAGTGTGCCAGGAGTTGGAGTTCTATTACATAATATTAAAGCATGATAACCAGTGGTGCATCAGTTCAGTACTTTCTAACAACTTATTGTGCTTAAAGCACAAGAATACTGAATAACTGAAGTACTGAATAACAAAACAATGGGATAATAACAATAACAAACCACTG